ATTGAAGAATACCAAAATCAACACTACCATTTATATCACGAAGCCTGAATCTCAAGCTTACGTGGAGGAGTTCAATCACCGTATCCCACTTATCACAAATGAATCTGATTCTGATGTCGATATAGCGGTTGAGAAAAAACACGAAAAGATTGAGGATAATTATTCTTTCAAAGAAAAGGATAGCAGCGGAGATAGTTCTAGCGAAGAGGCAGTAGACAAGAATAGAATCATTGAGATCGTGAAATCTGAATTGTCACATGTCACCTTCAAGGAAGGCAGACCATCCATGGAAGAAATGGTTCTTCAAGAAATAGACCAATCGAATGGATCCATTGCATTCGTAACCTGTGGACATCCAGTAATGGTTGATGATTTACGTCATTCTGTAGTTAAGAACTTAGATAATACGAAAGGCAAGCGTGTTGAATTCTTCGAACAATTACAAGTTTGGGCCTAATTTTTTTTGGCCAATGCTTTATAAATAGTTTCCAATTTCATTCTGGTTGAAATCTACCTCAGAATTTAAAAGAGTAGGTATGTTGATGTTAATATATATTATTACTATTTCATATTTGGAAGCGATAAAACACCGAGATATCATGTTTTTGCCATTAACCGCACTTACTATCGTTCCGTAAAATAACCGGTGTCTCCCGATAGAGTGACTATAGATTTTTATATTATATTATTGTATATTTGTTTTATTTCAGAAACTGTACAGCTGCAACTCTCCAAAGTAAGGAACAAAAATGTACAAAGTAAGCATTTGGCAGTATTTCATACGCACAAAACAAGAAACTAGTCTTGATTTGAATTCACCACGCAGGTAAGTCATTTTGACGGAAAGACAAACGCTTGGCAATGAGAGTATCAAGCCTTACTATTTGTTGCAGAGTTTTTACGGAGCATAATCTGATAACCGGGTATATGCAATATTGGAATTGTAAAATCTACTGCATATGTAACTCGCTTTTTGCATAACACGATATTATATTGAAGCTGCAACTAGAAATTGTAGCTATTAGTTCTGCAACATTTTCCAGTTCATTGGTTCAAATGCCGAGATCATGTATATAATAGGATATATGTAACTATGTAACAGGCATGGCTAGCTGCACAATGTTTCAGATGGCACTGTGGAATTTAGAATCATATTGATCTGATGAAAATTTTCAATCTAGGAAATTACTATTTAAGTAGAATATTCTTCTTGTATTATTCGGTTACTGAAGTTTATTAGTAGATCAGGTTACTAAGTTGATTTGAAAATATCATTATCATGAAACTATTTTCAGTATATTGTATGTCGCTACTTATGCTCATGAAGGATGTTAGTGCGCACGGTGGAGGTAGAGGTGATGGTGAGAGAAGTATTGGGAACGGAGAGAGTACTTCAGGACATGGGGGTAGAGCAGAAGCTAGTAGCACACACGGTGGTAACTCAGAAAGCAGTAGCACAGCACATGGTGGTAGCTCACACGGTAGCAGCTCAGAAGGCAATAGCTCAGAAGACAGTAACTCAGAAGGCAGTAGTTCAGAAAGTAGTAGCTTCCAAAGTGGCCATGGTGGTAGTTCTCAAGGTAGTCACGATGGTAAGTCCCAAGGTGGCCACGGTGGTAAATCCAAAAAAGGTGGTCATCATAACCAATCTGGAAAGCCATATTCAACTTCAAACTTATCACAAATTGCTTACGCTGCTTGCTCTCAGTTGGTTTCGGCCACTGCAACATTTTGCGACTCAAGTTCTGAATATTCCAGTGCATGTTTCTGCGTAGATCCAAACGCTTTAGCTACTATTGCTAGTTGCTATCATATAGCAAACATGGCGTCCAAAAACAATGTCAAGACATTAAGCTCAAACTGTGAACAATTTAAAATTAAAATTAGTTTTGACCAATTTGAAGCAGCATATAAAAATTATACTTTATATGCCAAAGAAACAAGCGAAATCAAAAACTTTGATGCCTCTGTTCCTGTGGATGTTCCAATCAAGTTAAATGCGACATCAGTTAATTTGTACCAGGAATCTTACAAACAAAGTTTGGGTAATGCTTATTTTTCGTTATTTTATGGATCCGGAATTTTAGGGTATTGGGCTCTTGTATTCTTGATTGCAACCATTGCTAACTGGTCGAAACATTTATTCCCCGGTTTGTTAAAACAGTTTACGGGCCCAGTATCTAATAAATGGAGAAAATATATCACGTTACCAACAACAGGTACTAGAAGTAAAACCAACGAAAAGCCTCTTTTGAAATTCTTTGACTTCTTAGTGCCTACAAGACTTGAAACTATAATCATTATTGGGTTCACAGCTATTACTATTGCAGCATGCAGTGCTCAGATTAAATACGTTGAAGGTGGCCCTCGGAGCAATAATAAACATGAAACTCTACTTCGTCTTGTGGCAGACAGAACAGGGATTATTTCAACAATTATCATGCCATTATTAATCTTATTTGCTGGTCGTAATAACTTTTTGCAATGGTTAACTAGATGGGATTTTGCTACTTTTATAGCATTCCATAGATGGGTAGCAAGAGTGGTTTTCATTTTGGTATTCATACATTCTGTTGCATATACAGCAGCTTACCTTATGTCAGGTAGATATTACACTCGTATGCAAAACAACTTTATGATATGGGGAACTATAGCAACAGTTGCCGGTGGTATTATCACGTTTCAAGGCATGTTATACTTTAGAAGAAATTGGTATGAAATATTTTTGATAATTCATATCATCATGGCTGCATTATTTATTGGAGGTGCGTGGATTCATGTTGATGGATTAGGGTACGTCTGGTTTTATTATGCTACCGTAGCAGTATGGGTATTTGATAGGGTTGTTAGAATTGGAAGGTTAGTGGTGTTTGGCTGTCCTAAATCTGAAGTTATATTATTAGCTGACGAAACGTTGAAGGTTATAGTTCCAAAACCATCTTATTGGAAATCTGCACCTGGTGGACATGCTTTCGTCCATTTCATGAGACCTTCATGCTTTTGGCAATCACATCCGTTCACATATACCTCTTCTGAAGAAGAGAACAAAATTGTGTTGTACTGTAAGGTCAAAGGAGGTGTAACTCACAGTTTATATCAATACTTAGCTAGTCATCCTGGACGTACTACCAAAATCCGAGTTTCTTTGGAAGGACCTTACGGAGAATCCACTGCTGCCAAAAATTACGATACTGCTGTATTCGTTGCTGGCGGTAATGGTATTCCAGGTATCTATTCCGAAATTCATGATTTAGCCGTTAGATCGAAGTCTAATATCAAACAGTCATTGAAATTGGTCTGGGTTGTTAGGGAATATAGATCATTGTATTGGTTTTACGAGGAATTAGTTGCATTGAAAAATACCAAAATCAATACTACTATTTATATCACGAAGCCTGAATTTGAAGCACATGTTGAAGAATTTAATAACCGTATTCCTGTTGTTACAAATGAATCTGCTTCTGAGCTTGACGTTACCGTCGAGAAGAAGTTCGAGAGTGTAGGTGACACCGATTCTTACAAAGATAAATCAAGCAGTGGAGATAGTTCTAACGAAGAGCCAGTAACCAGAAACAGAATTATTGAAATTGTGAAGTCTAAATTGTCACATGTCACCTTCAAGGAAGGCAGACCATCCATGGAAGAAATGGTTCTTCAAGAAATAGACGAATCGAATGGATCCATTGCATTCGTAACCTGTGGACATCCCGTAATGGTTGATGATTTACGTCATTCCGTAGTTAAGAACTTGGACAAGTCCAATGGTAAGCGTGTTGAGTATTTTGAACAATTACAAGTTTGGACATAATTTTTAACCCTTTTGTATATAGTCTCTAATAGCAGCT